ACGCGCTCTCCCCTTCCTTCCCTCGTTCCATCAAGGTGGATTCCATGAGGCGCGCTTTGGTCTCTGTCGCTGACTCTCGCTCCCCCGCGACGGGGCCGGCAGACCCCGCAGAGAACGACGAGGAAGAAGAAGGCGACAACAACACCGACGCTACCGCTAACGGTGGCGGCGGCGGCGCTGCAGCAGCAGCCAACGGCAAGCGGAAGCAACAACGACCACACCAAGCGCGCGAGGACTTGTTCGCTCTTTCCAACACGGAAGACAACGAGTCTCTGCAGGGGCTTGTCCGCAGCAGGGGGTCCCTGTGGATCGGAAAGTTTGGCTTGCCCCCCACCCCCGCGGGCGAGGACGAGTCGAAGGTGAGAGAGAGGAGGCAGACCAGCGGTTGCATGGGGCAGGTCAACGGTACGGAGCGGACCCGGTTTTTTCATGTTTTGGGTGATGGGAGTTGGCACATTTTTGTTCGCGTTGCTTTGCCGGGGTCGGTTGGTTTCGCGTGGGCATGCGAAAGAAGGCCTCCCTCTTCCCGCAGACCCACGCGCTTCCCCTGCTGTTGACAAGGTCGAGTGCAATGCTTCCCGTTTCCCCTCCTCACGCCCGGAGTGTAGCATTTACCCTCTATGCGTTGCCTGTGGTGCTCTTGCCCACTTGATGCTGCCCCTAACACCGCAACTATCCCGTGCACCAACGCCGACTCTAAAATACCCTGGAGCACAGCTGGTCGATATCTGGCCTAGAAAGGTAGCGCGCTTCGTCGAAGACGGCGGCGGTGGCTCCTTCCCCCTTGAGGGGAAGCCCAACACGTTCGGGTCTCTCACCGCGCCAGAGGAGGGCAGTGCCAGCCGCGGGGGCGCCGTAGAATGCGCTCGTCGGGCCCAAAGGTTGATAGCCCAGGCGCTGGCGGAGCTCCGCCCGCATGTACCAACACCGAAAGAAGAGGAGGGGGAGGAAGTCGATAACAACCCTGCCTATTCTTTGCATTGGTCGCCCTCCCTTAAGCCCGGCCGCGGCGGTAAGGCGGGGGGTTCGGTAGTAGGCTCGGGTGGCGGTTCTTCTGGTTCTCCGAAAGCGGCGGCGGCGGTGACGGCGCCGGGGAAGGTTAAGCCCGTGCCCATGTCTGCGGGCGACAGCGAAGAGGAAGACACGGAGGAGGAGAAATCGGGGGCTGCTGCAGGCCAAGGTACGGCGGCGGCGGGGGGAGCGGGAGGGAGGCGGGGGCGAAAGAGACAGAGGGTCAAGGGCGAGGAGGTGGCGGAAGACAGCGGCGGCGCAGGCGCAGGCGCCTCGTACCGGCTTCGGGGGCGGGAAGCAAGTAACGGCGTGGAAGACATGGACGATGACTCGGACGATGATGACGATGAGGGGGGGGCGGAGAGCCGTGGGGGCAACGCCGGCGGGCCGGCGGGAGCGGGAGAGATGACCGTGGCGGCCGTGCGCGAGTCCCTCCTCAGCAACCCTTCCGAGGAAGGGGAGCCCGGCCCGTCGCCGCAGGAGTGGGAGGTCGCCGTCAAGAAGTTTATCTCGCACGTCGAGAGCCTCCCTCCCGGCACCGAGCAGGAGGAGCTGTCGCTCATGTTCGCCGCTGCGCTCGACCCCACCCTAGTTAGGCTGCGCATGGCCAACACCAAGCTCATCGGCCTTGCCGAGGCGTGCTTGCCGCAGGGGGAGGGGGAAGTCCCCGGCAACGATGATGAAGAAGACTCCGACAGCCCGAACGGCGGCGGAGCCGGCAAGGGCGGAACAAAGAAGAGCGGCTTCAAGGTCCGCCTGGAGCTAGAGGCGCCGGAGGAAGGGGCGCCGCCCCCGGACGGGATAGCCGGGGTGCTCCGGGCGGTTGCGGCGGCGGCGGCGGCGGTGGAGGCGGCAGCGAGGGCGGAGGCGTGCGTGATCTGTGGAGGAGACACCCTCGGTGGACTGGGCGAGATCAAGCGCGATTACAAGCGGTGCTTGCCGCCCGGCCCCCGCGAACCTGTAAGTGTTTATTCGTTTTGTTTTATTTTATATATTTTGTTGGGAATCGCAATGGATTCATCTCCACCCACAGGCAGTAGGAAAAAATGGTATTTTTTTTTGTGTTTTTTGGTCTTGCGACAACGCAACGAACCAATTTGTGTCCACAGCCAAAAGATCGTCCAGGATTTCTTTTTTATGTCACCTCGTTTGCGTGACAAGTTTGTTTTTTGTACATGTGCGAAAAAAAAAAAAAAGAGGTTGGCGAGTCACCGCATGATGGATCCATCCTGTCCACAACGGAGGGCAATCAATCACGTACGGTTGATAAGTGTGGTATCCTAGGCCGCTGCATCGATTGAAAGTGTGGACTGGAGTGTAGACCAGGCTCACAGTAGTCAGTACGAACAGGCGACTTGCAAGCGAAACTTCCACGCGCGTTATTTTCCATGGCGGCGAAAGTCGGCTCTTTTTTGGTTGGGACTGCTGTTAGCATGCGGCGAGGCACACGTTGGAGAGGCTGGTTTCCATGCGGACAGACCAACATCGAGGGACAGACCCCTGCGAATAGCACCAACAACATACCAACGCCAACAACAATAAGATCGCTGCTCGAGTTCGCATTAATGTGGGCGACCAACTTCAACAACAGCAGTAACGACAACGACACCACCACCACCACCAACAACAACAATACCAAACCACCAACGACCACACTGTTCAGGTTGGTTCCTCGTGAACAGACCACCAACAACAACACCAAAAACAGCAGCAACAAATGCTGCCCATACGCCCACGCTCTTAAATCCACAGCTCCAATTCATCATCGCCGAGGAGGAGGCGAGAGTGGAGGGGTACGTGGGCGCACACCAACAGGTCCTTCGCGATGCGGGAGAAACGTTCCAAGAGGTAGGCCCCGAGGTCGGGCGCGCTTACCGCGCCGTGGAGCGGGAGGCCGGGTGGAGCGGAGTGAGAGACCAGGTCGATGCGTTCTTGATCGAGTTTGAAGACTACTGTGCGTCACTCATGCCCGCCCCGCTGTCCACAACTCGTAGCATCCTGGGCGTTGACCTCGCGGCCGCTAGACGCGCCGCCGCCGCCGCCGCCGCCGCCCACGCAGGAGGAGCAGCACCGGCAGGCTCTGCGACCAAGCCTGTGAAAGCGGCATGATTGTGGTGTTTCCGTTCCTTTTCTTATGTGGTGCGCGTGAGGGATTCGTGGCGATGGTGTGTGAGTGTGTATGTATTGTTTTGCGTGGTACCGTATATAAAACGGACCGTGACTCGCGTGTGTGTGCGTAACCGTTGTTTTGTGGCCTCCTACTTTCGCGTGTGTATGCAGCGAATAGCAGAGACGAGTTGATGGTACTACCGTAGGTTGTGGCGTGTGGTTGTAGTGTGTGGGCTGCCCCCCCCCCCCCCCCCC